TTAAAAATGTGATGTATTATGGGATGTATCTCTGGAATTATGAAAGTTATGAATGATAAAAGTAATAGCCTGCGATTCCCGACCGAGCTGAACGTTTTGATGTTTGAACGGAGTTTCTGCGATGTTGAATGTGGGAGGAGAAGAATAATAAAAGTCGGTGGAATAATAAACTTTTTGTCCGTAGCATAACATATAGTTGGAATGCTGTATCAGCATTCCCACTAAATTAAGTAAAAATAACACCCTTTTCACCCCGGTTACATTTTCCATTTGCCCTGTGGCGCTGTAATGCCCCTTTCACACCAACGCGTTTTCAGCTCCGGCTCAGAGCTGGAGCCTGAAAAGTACCGTTTTTTCCTGTTCACACCGCAGCGGCGCCGCCTCTTAGCTCCGGAATGCGGTTCACTTTCAGCTCCAAAAAATTGTCGGTCTAGAGGCAAGAGCTTCGGAGCTAAGAGGCGGCGTCGCTTACGTCTCTCTTACGTCAAGGCGTGCAGGAAACTAAACCCACCTCCCCTGAACATTGGTCGACTGAAGAGTCTTGTCATGCCTGCCTACAAGCAGTAGCGCTGAGCAAAGTGACTAGAAGGCAACCACACACTTATAAAAAAAAACACACTTTATAAAGTCAGGCAACACTAACCAGGCTTCGTGTGATTCTGTTTATTTGTACCTTACTTTGACCATCCGTTCGCTGTTATTGATCATTGTGGAGAGCAGGCAGACGTTTTGTTTGTTATTATAGCAGCTATCGGATGGAATCAATACATGGGCTGCACAGGTTGTCATGTTCGACTATCACAAGTAGAATCATAATGAAAAATACGCCGGTAAAATGTGCCTGTAGAAAACGGCTTAGCAAGTAGTCAGTTTAGCTTCGGTTGCTATGCTAACATCACCCATGTTATACCAGAGAAACTTTCATAACAGCGTTGTGATGCCAAACAGCGTCAATTCAGACTGACACACTTAAGGGGAACTGGGGATATGTGTCAGCTGCTTGTGTGACAGTCAGACAGTGAATACTTTAGAGCCGTGTGAGCTAACCCGGAGCTAACGGGAGAATAAACTCCCGTGGAAGAGCAGCCAGCACTGCAGCGGTCGGTAAATGCCGCTGAAACACATTAATAAACAATGAACCACAGCACTCAGGAGAAAAGTATAAGGTTGGAGAAGTCGTTATTTAATTTAATCTGGCTTCGTATGATTAAAAGCAACACGATCTTCGACCCGACGCAGTCCCCCGTTGTTGTTGTTGTTGTTGTGAGCTCCGTTGGGGAGAAAATCAGCGATGTAAAGCGGTGTGAACAGAGCGGGAGCAGAAAAGGGAAACCGGAGCTGAACCAGAAAAGCTCTAGCTAGGAGCTAGAAAGGGAAAAGCGCCGGTGTGAAAGCCGCATCAGCAGTGGCGACTGGTCATTAGGGGCAGGTGGGGCACAGCCCCACCTAGTGTCAGCAGAAAGTATTACAAATAATGATTACAAAAATGCAAAAAAATAAATAAAAAAATATATAAAATATATTTTAAGATCATGTTTAATCATCTGATTCGTCTGTACATTGCTGTTTTAGTCTGTGTTCTTCTAATTAGTGTGTCTACAGTCACAGTGTGTGCCTATTGAGCTGTTTAGAGCCATGTGGGACAAAACCTGATTATGCCCCTCCCTCTCGCTGTGAAGTCAACGGTGACTGTAAAAACTACACTGCGCATGCTCAGAGTATTTTGTAATGAAATGTGTGTGGCAAAAAAATAATGACCAGAGGGGCATGGAGCTACCATCCCCACCATACGTCATCTCAAATCATTCAGAGCTGATTGGCTGTAAGTACGTGTGCCGCGAAAATTGTGGTGTGTGAAGAGGAGACGAGAGAGCTGCAGTGACGCGTCCTAAAACCAGGAAGTAAGCTGCGCATGGCTTCCCTCGACAAAAAAGCAATGAGATTTCTCCAGAGGATTTTAGAAAATAGCTGGAAATAAGATCTGTGGGAAACGTACCTGTTAGATAAATGCACGTTTTGATCAGCCGGATAACATCCACATGTCTACCCTACTTTTATAATTTTTTTATCATAAATCTATGGATTAGATTTATGATAGACTTTTGAAACTACAAGAACATAAGGAGGACTTTTACAAAAAAGTTATAGACATTTTTGTCCAGAAGGATAGGCAAATGGACTTCATCTTCAAGTCAAGGTAAGACCGCAATTTGATTGAAAATGGGATCTTACTAAGAGAGAACAATTCAATATTTAAATGATAAAATGACATTTTTTGGGTATCCTTTTGTTGAACTGTCTGTTTAAAATTAATCGAAGCATCAGACAAAAAAAGCTTTTGAAAATAATATTATATTTTGGTTTAGGTCAAAATATAATATTTGTAAACCTGAAGAGTCAGTGCCAGTGCCTCACCAGCCATGAACCTCACTGCACGTCACTGCAGAAGCTTATATATAGACATCTACGTTTTTTGTGCCCCACCACTTTTGTACATATAAAAACGCCACTGCGCATCAGTGATGAAAGTGGGGGATGTTGGCTTATCAGGCGCCCGCAGCTCACAGCCGAAGTGAGAGAGAGATAGATAGAGAGAGGGGGCGCACCGGTACCGGCTAACGGATATAAGAAGCTGTTTCTACAATAATGTGGAGGGAGAGTTCTGTCCTGTCAGACTGAGAGGCTCAGTGAGGTAAAGGACTCTGAGGGTTTAGATAGTTCACTTTAGTCTAAGTTATCTCAGTGGGTCTCAAACGTTTTGGTCACAATTTATGTAAACAAATATTTCCAAGGCACACCTTTATAATTATTAGGATAAATAACAACAGGTTTGAAATCATTCCAATGTATACTATAGGACAGTAAACCAAAAATATAATTTAAAACTGGAGAGATTAAAAAATATGCATAAATAAATAAATGTTAACTAAGTAAAATAAGATATGAATGAACAACAAAAATAAAATAAGTTAGCCTACATTTATTTGTTATTGGCTATGGTAGGTTATTGGAAATGTTCACATACTTATTTGATTAATAAAATGCAAACCGATCTTTTTCAGATGGGTGTTTAAAGTTGTACCCCCTAGATCAGGTCTCTAGTAATTGGGCGCTCAAAGTGCACCGGATTGAAGCATTTTACTTTAAAATGTTAAAACAAATGTTCACACAATACTAAATACATTTGAAGCCTTTTTATATAAGCTGTCCACCATGTCAATGCGTTTCTCTGTTTGTAGTAGGGCTGTGCGATTATGGCAAAAATCATAATCACGATTATTTTGGTCAATAATTGATATCACGATTATTAAATACGATTATTCATTGACTTTGAAAACATCCATTTATTGAACTTTAAAACAAATACAAATAATAATTTGAACAGTATCTTTTTAACTGTTGATTACCCTGAACGTATAATTCAACTGAAAAACCAATACAAAAATAAATTAAATAAATGATACATTTATATCTACATTTAAATAAATAATATCAAAATAATAAATACCAATAAACAAGATCAACAAATATTTTGGAGCGCACTTCAACAAGCTACTAAACATATGTAAATATGATAAATATAAATAAATTAGACTAAAATAAATTAGATCAAATATGTTGCAGTGCACTGTCACAACCAAGCAAAGCAAAATAATCGTTTTTTTCGATTATGTTGTTTTCGTAATTGTGGCAGGCCAAAATCGTAATTGCGATTCAAATACGATTAATTGCACAGCCCTAGTTTGTAGTGTATTGGTCTTTTGTAGAGGTTTTTCATTGCCAGCTAAAATCTTGCCTAGGGCAGCAAACTGGTCAGAACCGGCCCTGGTGTCATCCCCACAGCACCCCCCATTTGAAACATGTTCCTGGCTATGTCATAGGGGCATCAAACTTGCTCTGTTCACTCAAATAATGTCCATTTTAAGACAGACTGTCCCTGATCATCACTGCACATTTCTACTAAAACCCATAAAAGGAGCAACGAAGGGAACATGGAGAAAATGTGTCCTAATCTATCTGATTTTTGGCTTTGGCTGAATGTGTTACTTTGTATTGATAAATGTATTATTTAAAGATTGAACCTTGTTTTGTTTGGTTGTTCCAAAGCTTCTCTTATACTGCCACATATTTTATGTTTGGTTTGTTATTAGTAACAAAGACAAACATTCTCATGGACTGGACGGCTACCAGCACCGGTTTCTCCTGATGGTTTGGGGAACTATACAGAGTGAGAGGCTTTAAACTAAATAGTTTTCTTTTACCATGGCTCAATTAGATTACAGTTAGCTCTCCCATTGGTTAGTTTAGGTCCCTGCTGTGTGATAAAGTTGATCTATTCTTAGTGATGTGCTCTTTGTTTAAAGACACAAACACTCATTGTATTCCTGAATAGTCCAGTACTTTTGTGGATGTTATATTTTCCTTTTATTTAAAGGGGTTGTGCCTAGGTTTGTTTGTTGATGTTACTTTTGTAAATAAAATAATATACAATATTAAATTATAAAGAATAAGACGATATAGGGTTGTACTTTATTTTCCAACAATCATAACAGTTGTATGCTGCAAATACAAAAAGCTGCAAATAAAAAAGACACTGCAAATGCATGCATAATGTACATATCAAAATACATAATGCTACAAATACAAAGTGCAGTAAATACAAAACACAGTAAATACGTTGCAGCGCGTTGGCACCTGTCAGCCACTGTACTAGACCAGACACAAAACTCCCAAGACACCCCAAGAATAATGGGCACATTTTTGTGTGTATATAAAAAGATAATAAAACAACAACATTTAAAATCCAAATGATAATGTAAACATCTTTTTTAAAGACACACATTTACATTAGTCTCTCTTTCAGGCCATGGCTCTGAAAGAGAGTTAAGAAGAGGGGTGAGACTGGGTGAATCATGAGCTCTTACCATACGGAAGTGTGTGTGACACAGTGTGTATTTCCATAGAAGCAGCACAGATCAGAAGAGGGCGGTGCGCAAAGCGGAGCTCTGTGGCTGTGCGCTCTTCAGTTCACTGACACTGATGTGTGGTTCTTTGCAAATCTATGGCAAATTTTTCAAATCATTCCAAATGCCACGTCATGGTGGACGTGGAGTTCGGGAATCCCATCACCTCTGCGCTGATGTTCGCTGCCGGTGTCGTGGGTAACATCGTGGCGCTGGTGCTGCTGGAGGTCCGGCGCAGGAGGACCAGCCCGTCCCTGTACCACATCCTGGTGACGGCGCTCCTCATGACCGACCTGCTGGGCTCCTTCTCTGTCAGCCCTGTTGTTCTCACAGCCTATGCCCGGAGGAAGACTCTGGTGGGGATGAGTGCCGACAGAGAGCTGTGCGCCTACTTTGGCTTCAGCATGACTTTCCTGAGCCTCTCCACGCTCTCCATTGTGAGCGTAATAGCACTGGAGCGCTGCCTCTCCATTGGTCACCCTTATTTTTACGAGAGGCACCTGAGCAAACTCCGCGGTTACATCACTGTGGCTCTCATCTACCTGGGAAGCATCCTGTTCTGCGTCGCTCCTTTTCTGGGTTTTGGAGATTACGTACAGTACTGCCCGGGGACATGGTGCTTCCTGGAGATGAGCCACAAGAAGAAAGGAAACGATCAAGTTTACATCGGGTTGTATGCGTCTTTCATCCTCATCGTGATCACCAGCACGGTGGTGTGCAACATATGTGTCATATTCCACTTGGTGATGATGCAAAGGAGGCGCAAAGCGCGCCGGAGTGGAGAGTACGCGCGCTCCCGGTACGGCAGGTCTCTCTCCATGTCAGAGGAAGTGGAGCATCTATTGCCGCTGGCTATTATCACTGTGGTCTTCATCTGCTGCACCTTCCCTTTGGTGGTAAGAGCTATCTATACACTGTTAAAGGGGCCCTATTCTACTCATCTTCAGGTGTATATCAGTATGTAGTGTCTCCACTGTGACATGTCTCCATGCTTTAATGTTCAAAAAGCTCTTTATTTTTCTCATACAGCCTGTGCTGCAGCACCTCTTTTCACCCTCTGTCTGAAACCAGAGCCCAGTCTGCTCTGATTGGTTAGCTGGTCGGCTCTGTTGTGACTGGTCAACTGCATAGAGATGTCCCACCCCTTAGCGTACAATGTGTTGGAATGCTACCCAGTGTTACATAGTGATGTCATTATGTTATAGAAGTAAATAAGGGAGTCCAATGGAGGTGTTTCAGGCAGGGGGGAGTGTGTGGGAGAGAAACTCCCTCTGGAGGCCTTTGCAGACCATTAACATGCACACAAACCTATAGAACACAGTCAACTCACTACAGGAGAGGGACAACCACAAAAAGCAGAATAGGGGCTCTTAAGTTGTCGCAAAACTCTCAATCGAACGAAGATTTATTTGAGTAAAAATACCAATACATAAACAACCCCTAAATGTCTTTTGAACAACGATTCCCACACAACATAAAACAGATTCACTCTTCTAACATTATAAGGTCTTTTTTTAACCGTCAACATCAGATGAAAAAACATTAACATTGAGAAAAAAAATGTCCTCCTCTAATTATTTGTTTTAATATATATATTGTATACGCTAGATAAACTTGAGAATAAGACTTAATCCCTACCACCATTTCTCTAGTTTTCTCCATTAGTGGTAGGAGAAACTTCTCCCAATAATGACCTTAGTATGTAATGATATGCTAATGCAATAAAGGTGTTATAAACCATACCATACGTGGGCACTGTTAATCTGTACAGTATCTGAGCTGATTATTTTCATGATGATTGTTTTCATGATAACATTTATTCCTTTTATTTCTATTTCCCAGCTTAGAGTGTACATAAACTTCACAGGCAGCCACACTGACACTGACACTGGCACACGCAATGCTGAACTCCGTGCCCTCCGTCTCCTGTCCTTCCACTCCATCATCAATCCCTGGGTCTTCATCATCCCCTCCATTGTGAGGATCATCTGGAGGAAGTCGCGCTAAAGTCCTCGATGATCTGGGGGAAGACCCATACCACAGTGACCGGGGGGGGGGCTTGCTGTGCAGAACCACCTAAATGAGGAGGACATGGACGTGGAAAAGATACACAAAGCTTCTGAGGCCTGTGGTTTATTTCCGTCCGAGTATGCCTGAAGGCAACCAACGGAACAGAGCAGATCTTGTCACAGCTCAGACAAAGATTGATTGATAGGATGTGCACTTGGGTTAATTTGAGTTTGAGATAACCCCAGCTGCTTTCCCGAGAATAGACTTGTGGTGAAACACGTGACTGAAGTCATCAGAGCGTTCTGTCAATAATTACACAGAAGTGTCCTTATGTATAAGAAATAAAGTTGTTTATCTTACAGTAAAATCATCAGCTTCAGGAAATGAACGTGCATAAGATACAGTACAGAGTCAGGAAATGAATGTAGATGATGTCAGAAGGGTGAAGAACATGAGCAAATAAACCTGTTCCATAGAGCCAATTTTGGTCGAGGTGTAATGATGTAACACAAACATCAGATGATCACTTTAAAGATAAACCAAGTGTGAAGACTAAAGGTGGGTTTCCACACAGTGGTGAAGTGTCGACCAACCTCTGGCTGCTTTAAGCTGCGTACACATTATAAACGGCTCTGCAGTGACTTTGCTGTTGTGTTTCTATTTAAGTCACCTTAGTGTGCTTGTAGAGAAAGAAAGATATTGTGATGAACCTTGAGATATAAGTTGATCTAATATATAAAATGATATTGTTTCGGTCATATTGACCTGCTGTATACTTAAAATGCTTGTATGTAATTTCTGTGTAGTGCTTTTGAGGACTGCTGCAGTCTAGCAGATTGAATGCAGTTCCATTTATACTACAAATGAAGTACCCTTTTACGTAGATGTACCCATCGGTCTGCCATTTCAAGCATGCACATTTAGGTATCACACTCTGTTACATTGTTTGCCAGGAGTTAAACATCTTTAGGCGCGTTCACACCGCAGTACTTTTCCCACTTTAGTTCCGATATAGTTCCGAAATGTCGCGTTCACACCAAAAAAATCCGGAACTAAAATTAGCTTATCAGAACCTTTAACTTATGAACTAAGTTCTGATGAACCTTTGTGGGAAAAGTACTGCGGTGTGAAAGCGCCTTTTAATTCTTGTTGTCTTTATATTCCTTTAAAGACAAACTATACTCACGCTGTTGGTAACAGTGAATGTTCACAAAGAACCTCTCTTCAAAACAATCCGTTAGTATGTTATCTTTCTCCCCTTCTTTGCAAACAAGCTAGCGGTGCATATGCCACCAACTGATCTTAACTGTGGACTGAAACAGGAGCATGTGATTGCCTGTTTGATTATCAGATTCTATCCTTTCACATGCTGCCCCGGGGGCAAGGTGGACCTAAATGCAGGACACATAATCGTTTAGCAGAAAATACTTTTATTAGCAGATAATCCATGCACAGCAGGCCAGGGCCGAACAGAACAGAGCTCTGGATAAACAAGGATCCGACAAACACTGAAAAAAAAACACAACTACACAAAATACATGAAGAACTAATCACAAGACACAGCTGGGGAGGGCAAAGCAGTAGGTGTAAAGGTTCTGATCATCAAACAGGCGGGAAACACAGAGACAGAAACTACAAAGAGACATAACACAAGGGGTGACCACATTTCAAAATATGTGACATCAAATCATGAATCGGCCTTAAGGGTAAGCGACTGCCCAACTGTGTTTTACTGCAGTGGATAAAAGGAAAGAGACTTGATCAATGTTATTGGGCAGTTTTTGTTTTTTAACCAGATCACCTTAAATAAAAATGATACTGTATCTGTGTGAAAAACCGATAAAATGGAGTAAAACAATGAACCTCTGAAAGAAAAACATATTAAGTTAAGTAAATTCGTTTTTACTGATTAATAGTAAAGGAAAATAACAAGCTTTCTTTTATATTGATTTAAATTAAACAATTTGTATTTATTAATATACAGCTCTGGAAGAAATGAAGAGACCACTCCAAATGTTTCTTAAATCTCAATCTCCACATGTATGGCAGCCATTCCATTCCAGTGTCTGTTGGATTCCAGCACAGAGCAATGTTGTCAGTAGTTTATAGAAACAAATTACAACAAATTCATTTTACTCAAACACAATAGTAAAGCCAGAGAAACTGATAATGTAGTGGTCTCTTCCTTTTTTCCAGAGCTCTATAAATATATACTGTATTTTATTTACATGTATATATATATATTTGAAATGTCTGATAGACCTTTGTAACATGCTGTGTCAGGATTTCATAATGGTAAAGGTACACTGGTTACTTGATTTGTGATTTGTCACAAAGTTTGCTCTTAATTCATGTATACCAGCTTGTGAGCATTGACTCACACATTACATTTGTTATGATGGTGAATTACTGATATTGTACAATATCACATTTGAATGTGAGTCATGTATGTGAGTCACAGTAAATCAATGTTCAAACACAAACTGATTAAAAGAAGAAAATGTCAGTATTCAAGTTTTATTTTCTTGAAGCAGTTTTCAAGTAATAGCTGATGTGGAGTTCACAAACAGATAGGTACAGTAATACAGAATGTGAAAACATCCTTAATAATGATATGACCTTTAGTTGTAATCTTCAGATATATTTGTCTCACCCTTGTTCTCACTGACAGAAAGACACAATGCTGTGTCGCAACATCCTGTGTAGCGCTCCACAACAATCCACTGTCTTCATTCCTGACTTTACTCCCTCATGAGCTCTGTCCTAATATGTGTAGTCTCTTTGTACTACTTAGTAGTTCTGACCTTGATAAATATGAAATGATGTGAACATGGGCTAATGTAAATCTGTAAGTGGCCTTTCCAGATATATGCGTTTCAATAATTGCCAGAAGTCTCTAGTTCACAATGATTGCAACACATACAGCTCTGGACAAAATTAAGAGACCACCAAAATGATCAGTTTCTCTGGTTTTACTAGGTGTTAGAATTCACCAGACACTGTAATGGAATAGCTGCCATACATGTAGATATTGAGATTCAAGAAAAATGTGGAGTTGTCTCTTAATTTTTTTCAGAGCTGTATATGGGGACATATTTATATTTTTGCAGTTCTTGTGTGTCTTATAACCCCATTCCTGCATAAAAGCCTACATCATCACTGAAAAATAATGCACCTATCTGTTGGACTTCTGTTGTTTATTATATAAAATAATAACACGTTCAAAAGCTTTGTTTATCGTGTGACTCTTTTCTCATTGTATATTGAATATCAATAACATAATGGGTTTTTCATGTTATAAGATATGTGCTTCTAACAGTAAAGGGACAATTCTCAGCTGGTCCGCCAACCTTTTAGCCCATTAATGTCAACAATGGTGCAAAAATAAGAGCAGCTGTCAGAGGAATGGACTTCCTGAGTGCCCATTTCGTTTGGGTAAATACAGACAATGACTTGAGAGGCAGAACACTCAGTTGGTTCAGTCCCTGAGAAGACATGAAGCATGCACATAGGGGATCTGCCTGTATCCTATTTCTAAAGTGTAGGCCAACATTTATATCAGTTAAAATACTCTACTCATCAGATTTATTGACATTCATTGGCATTTTAAGACATATTTATTCAATGTGCAGCAACTACACACTCGATTCAAGCCCTTCTTAGACTTGACACAATAAAGAAATGTTTGCTTTATTAAATATTTTTATTTAAGAAATAAACCTAAGTATAGTTCATTAGTGTTACACAAATTACATTAATCAATTCACTTATTAAATGTATTTAGGACAGATCAACTCAAAATGAATTGTTTTCATCTGGGGACCGCCCCTTTGCATATCCCCTTTGCACATGCGCAACATCCGTTCTATCATTTACCGCCTTTTGTCTGACACTGACTGTGGAAACTGACTGTGGAAAGTCTATTCTTTGGTAAGTATTTCTTTTTTCTAGTAGTTTAGAACGTACCCAGTTTCCAAGTAATACCTTTTCATAATATCGACAAGAATATTTGAAACCACCGTGTTATATTTTGCTCCGTTTTTAGTTGGGTCTAAACGGCAAGCAAGCTATACCTAGCCAAATAACTGGTAGCTAGAAACTAGCTTACATGTGGGTAGAATTGAATACCTGCTGGATAATGGAGATCAGTAGATTGTATTATATTAGATTTAATGTTATTGTCATTGAACACAGTACACCGAAATTCAGTTTATATCCAACCAAGAAAAAAATGCAAAGAGTAATTAAAGTGCATGAGGTAACAGTATAGGGGGCAGAGCCTGCATGCCCCTGCAAGCACCGCCATGGTCTGTCTACCTCTCCTGGCCTTAGTGCAGGCAGGCAGAGGAGGACAGGTGAAGCCACTCATTTCTGTAGGAGTTCAGTTGAGTTTAGGCACTGGTCTTTTTTTTACTGCCAAATATTTAATATAAATAATGAGACAGAGACGAGGGGATACGTGTGTGGCGTGTGCATGTGTAGAGCGAGTGAGAGGGAAGTTGAGCGAGCCGTAGTACGTTTCTGGAAGTGAACGGGAGTAGTTAAGGGCAGTTGCAGCAGTATAACAAAGTCATAAATATAAACGACGGCCTCTGAAGAACATTGAATGATGTATTCCATGTACTGATCAAGCAGACACCCACTACACGGGGCGGAAGTCCTCACATGCCCCTTTCACACCAACGCAACTCCGGTTCAAGCTCCGTGCTAGAGCTTTTCTGGTTCAGAACCGGTTCTTCGGTTTAGCTCCGGCTCTTTTCACACCGCTCAGAGCCCGACTGGTGCTGCCGCTGCTGCGTCATGACGTCACCGTTTACGTCGCTGAGTTTCTCCCCAACGCCGGAGCTCACTTCACAACAACAACGGGCCGGGGACTGCGTTGCTTTTAATCATACGAAGCCAGATTAAATTAAATAACGACTTCTCCAACCTTATACTTTTCTCCAGAGTGCCGTGGTTCATTGTTTATTAATGTGTTTCAGCGGCATTTACCGACCGCTGCAGTGCTGGCCGGCTGCTCTTCAACGGGAGTGTATTCTCCCGTTAGCTCCGGGTTAGCTCACACGGCTCTAAAGTATTCACTGTCTGACTGTCACACAAGCAGCTGATACATATCCCCAAGTTCCCCTTAAGTGAATGTGTGTCAGTCTGAATTGACGCTGTTTGGTGTCAGTCTGAATTGACGCTGTTTGGCATCACAACGCTGTTATGAAAGTTTCTCTGGTATAACATGGGTGATGTTAGCATAGCAACCGAAGCTAAACTGACTACTTGCTAAGCAGTTTTCTACAGGCACTTTTTACCGACGTATTTTTCATTATGATTCTACTTGTGATAGTCGGACATGACAACCTGTGCAGCCCATGTATTGATTCCATCCGATAGCTGCTATAATAACAAACGTCTGCCTGCTCTCCACAATGATCAATAACAGCGAACGGATGGTCAAAGTAAGGTACAAATAAACAGAATCACACGAAGCCTGGTTAGTGTTGCCTGACTTTATAAAGTGTGTTTTTTTTAACAAGTGTGTGGTTGCGTTCTAGTCACTTTGCTCAGCACTACTGCTTGTTACAACTTTTATTTGCCGTACTCGCCTTAACTGTTAGCTCAGGTTAATCTCGCCCCCCTCCGACGTAAGCGTGACGTATGCGGTTCTTGCTTCTAGACGGACAACTTTTTGGTGCTCGAAACGAACCGGATTCCGGAGCTATGACGCTGCTCCGCTGCGGTGTGAACAGGAAAACCCGGTGCTTTTCAAGCACCAGCACCGAACCGGCCCTGAAACACCGTTGGTGTGAAAGGGGTAAGAGAGGAGAGCAGAGCCCCCTCCCATCCGAATGACTTTAAAGTTACGGCAGACCCACAGTTACTCTACCCGCAGATGGCCTACCCTGTTCCAGCAGAGTGAAGTAAGTAAATGTGTATGTTTGTATGTGTTGACCGTTTTTATTATTGTCCATAATGATTAATGGCTCCACAATCGCAATTGAATTTGCCAATAATCCTACATCCCAATTTGGTAGTAATTCTGATAAAC